AATGCTTGGGCCCTGCACCCCATGGGAGACCAGGATAAGCACCTGTCTCCTGCCATTGGATCAGCGCGGTGCGCCGGCCGCGGCAGCCATTGGAGGGTGAACCAATGGAAAAGGAAGACCTTTCTCTCTGTCTCTCTCTCTCACTGTCCACTCTGCCTGTCAAAAAAAAAAAAAAAAAATTAACAACAGGTGTCACCATGCACTAACTTTCCATGCAGGAACTCTGTCCTAATGAGTTGTACTATGAGCGCTAACTGTAAAACTTGTTCTCAAATGGTTTGTGTGTGTGTGTGTGTGTGTGTGTGTGTGTGCAAATTGTTGAAATCTTTACTTAGTATGGAGTTGATCTTCTGAAAATGAATCTTGGGGCCAGCACTGTGGCGTAGTGGGTAAAGCTGCCCCCTGCAGTGCCTGCATCCAATATGGGTGCTGGTTCAAGTCCCAGGCTGCTCCACTTCTCATCCAGCTCTCTGGTATGGCCTAGGAAGGCAGTGGAAGATGGCCTACGTCCTTGGGCCCCTGCACTCATGTGGGAGACTTAGAAAAAGCTCCTGGCTCCTGGCTTTGGATTGGCGCAGCTCCGGCCGTTGTGGCCATTTGGGGAGTGACCACAGATGGAAGACCTCTCTCTCTCTCTCTCTCTCTCTTTCTCTCTCTCTGTGTGTCTCTGCTCTCTCTTACTCTGCCATTCAAATAAATAGTAGTGTGGGTGGGAGGGCAGGTATGCTGTGAAAAATAACTATATTCTTTTGTTGGAAAAAAATTTTCATTCCACATATCTACATTTTTTTTTCAAAAAATCTTCTCCATCTACTGATTTCTTTCCCAAGTGAGAAAGAATGAGCGTGAAGGTTGCAGGCTGTATCAATTTCTAATCTTACATACAGTTATTTTCTTCTTTCTTATTATTTTAAAAGATTTATTTATTTATTTATTTATTTGAAAGGCAGAGTTACAGAGAGAGGGAAAGAGAGATCTTGCATCTGCTGGTTCACTCCCCATATGGCTGCAATGGTCAGGGCTGGGCCAGGTTGAACCCAGGAGCCAGAAGCTTCATCTGGCTCTCCTGAATGGGCAGGAGGGGCCCAAACATTTGGGCCATCTTCTGTTACTTTCCCTAGGCCATTAGGAGGGAGCTGGATCAGAAATGGAGCAGTGAGAATATGAACTGCTGCCCATATGGGATGCTAGTGTGGCAGGTGGCAGCTTTAAACACTACACTGCAGGACCAGCCCCTCTTTCTTCTGTTTTTAAATGCTGACCATATAGCCAAATTAAAAAAAAATCTATTATTTATTGAACTTATTTGAGAAACAGAGAGACATATAGACAGAGATAGATCTTTCTTTTTCTTTTAAACAGATGTTTGTTCTTTTTTTCTTTAAGATTTATTTATTTATTTGCAAGTCAGAGTTAGAGAGAGGAGGGAGGAGAGGCAGAGAGAGAGAAAGGTCTTCCTTCCGATGGTTCACTCCCTAATTGGCCACAATGGCCAGAGCTGTGCTGATCTGAATCCAGGAGCCAGGAGTTTCTTCCGGGTTTCCCATGCAGGTGCAGAGACCCAAGGACTTGGGCCATCTTCCACTGCTTTCCCAGGCCACAGCAGAGAGCTGGATCGGAAGAGGAGCAGCTGGGACTCGAATATGGGATGCTGGCGCTTCAGGACAGGGCGTTAACCCGCTGCGCCACAGCGTGGCAGAGATAGATCTTTCATCTACTTGGTTACTCCCTGAAATGTCTGTTAACAGCTAGGACTGGAAGCCAGGAGCCAGAAACTCCATCTGATTCTCCCACATGGGTGGCAGGAACCCAACTACTTGAGCTATCAGGATTGCCTCCCAGGTTCTGCATTAGCAGAAAGCTGGAGTAAGGAGCCAGAGAGGGGACTTCAACTCAGGCCCTTTGCCATGGGATCCAATTGCCAGGCCAAACACCTCCCCATGCTTCTGTGTTTTTCTGTTTTGCCTTTTTTTAAAAATATTTATTTATTATTTGAAAGTCAGAGTTACAGAGAGAGAGAAGAGGCAGAGAAATAGAAAGGTCTTCCATCTGCTGGTTCACTCCCCAAATGGCCCCAATGGCCTGGGCTGTGCTGATTGAAGCCTGGAGCCAGGAGCTTTTTCTGGGTCTCCCACATGGGTGCAGGGGCCCAAGGACTTGGGTCATCTTCCACTGCTTTCCCAGGCCATAGCAGAGAGCTGGATCAGAAGTGGAGCAGCTGGCACCCATATGGGATGCCAATGTTGCAGGTGGAAGCTTAGCCTACTATGCCACATGGTCGGCCCCTCCTTTTACGACAAAGTCCAAATTTCTTTTTTTTTTTATTTTTTAAATTTTAAAAAAAGATTTATTTATTTATTTGAAAGGCAGGGTTACACAGAGAAAGAAGGAGAAGCAGAGAGAGAGAGAGAGAGAGAGAGAGAGAGAGAGTCTTCCATCCGCTGGTTCACTCCCCAGTTGGCTGCAACGGCCGGAACTGTGCTGATCTGAAGCCAGAAGCCAGGAGCAATTCTTCCGGGTCTCCAACAAGGGCGCAGGGGCCCAAGGACCTGGGCCACCCTCCACTGCTTTGCCAGGCCAGAGCAGAGAGCTGAATCGGAAGTGGAGCAGCCGGGACTTGAACAGTTGCCTATATGGGATGCTGGCACTGCAGGCGGCAGCTTTTACCCTTCAAGCCACAACACCGGTCCCGAAGTCCAAATTTCTTAATATACTTTAGTAGAGTTTCTATAAATGGGCTATTACTTTCCTCTCTAGCTCCTATATGCTAAACCATTCACTACCATATAGAACTTTCATTATTGTCCCTTTCCTCTCTTGCAACACGTTTAGGGTAGGAAAAATTCTTATCTTCCTTCTTCTAGCTCAGTAGTTTTCAAAATATGGTCTGGAGGACTTCTGACGTTTTCAGGAGTTATGCAAAGTCAAAGCAATTTTCATATAACCAAGATGTTACTTGCTTTTTTTAAAAGATTTATTTTATTTATTTGAAAGAGTTATGGAGGGAGGTAGAGCAGAAAGAGAGAGAGAGAGAGAGAGAAGGAGGGAGAGGTCTTCCATCTGCTGGTTCACTCCCCAAATGATTGCAATGGCCAGAGCTGAGCTGATCCAAAGCCAGGAGCCAGGAGCTTTTTCTGGGTCTCCCACATGGGTGTAGGGGTCCAAGGACTTGGGCCATCTTCCACTGCTTTCCCAGGCTGAAGCAGAGAGCTGGATCGGAGTGGAGCAGCTGGGACTCAAACCGGTGCCCACATGGGATGCCAGCGCTGCAGGCCTGTGGCTTTACCCGCTGCCCCACAGTGCTGGCCCCACTTGCTTTTTTTCATTGTGTGGACAGTAACACTGATAGTGTAAAAGCAATGGTTTATAAAACTGCTAGCATGGATCATACAATGACACAGTACTGCTATTCCTTTTATTCTTCACCGTGATGCATCTGAAATTTCAAAAATAGGTAATCTCAGCACAGAATGACCTTGAAGTGAGGTAAAAATTATGTGAGCTAAATAATTGCTTCCCAAAGATATCTACTTTCTAATGCCTAGAGTAACCTGTGAATTTTTTACTTTACATGGTAAAAAGGAACTTGGCAGAGGTGATCAAAGATCTTGCTATGGGGAGGTTATCCTGGATTTTCTGGGTGTGTTTAATGGAATCACAAGAGGAAGATACAAGGGTCAAATACAGAGAGGAAAATAATGTGACCATGAAATCAGAGGGGAGAGAGACAGAGTGACCCTGAAGATGCCGAGTGGGGAAAGGCAGGAAGAAAGCCTCAGAAAAGGGGAGAGCAAGGAGAGAAGGGGTAGGTGCAGAGATGGGGAGGGTAGATACTTAAAGCCCCCTTTAGCTATTTGAATAATGCTGCTGTGACCATTTATAAACATGTTTTTGAATGGACCCACATTTTCAGTTTTCTTGAATTTTTACCTATGAGAGGACTTGCTGGGGCATATGCCAAGTTTGAGAAACTGAAAGCCTATTTTCCAAAACATTTTATATTCCCACTAACAAGAAGAGAAGATTCCAGTTTCTTCCTATCCTTGTCAGCAATTGTTATTATCTTTTTGAGAATAGCCATCACAGGAGGTGTGAAGTGGTATCTCCTGTGGTTTTAATTTGCATTTCCTTAATGGCTAATCAAGCTGAGCATTTTTTCATGTCCATTTATACGTTTTCTTTGGACAAATGTCTATTCAATCCTTGGCCCATTTTAAAATATCATCTTTTTCTTGATATTATCATTCTTCATATATTTTGAATATTAGATCTTTATCAGATATATTGCAAATATTTTCTCCCTTCCTCAGGTTGTTTATCTCAACACGAAAGACTTAACTTTAAATTTTGATAACATCATTTTTCCTTGGTTGTTTGTGCTCACAAGTCATCTAATCCAAGTCACTAAGATTCACGCTATGCTTTCATGTAAGCGTTCTATAGTTTAGTTCTCACATATGGAGCTCGAGTCTATTTTAGTTTCACATATGTTGTGAGGTGGAGATTCACAAATCCGTTCTTTCACATGTGGACGTCCAGTAGACTCTCTACCATCTGCTTTTATCTTTATCCTCGGCGTTTACGCCATCAGAGTCATTGTATTTTAAAGGAGAAAGAAGGATCATCCTTTAACTCCAAAACCAGTTCCAGGGCTGGAATTAGTTGCTCTTCTCCGCCCGTTCAGAACTTTCAGCCGTGTTTTTCGTCAGTAGCCACCTAGATCGTATCCAGCCGGGTGGTAGTTATTTTACTGTTGTGGATCCAGGTCGTGTGTTTGGCGGGGAGAGGAGGGGTGGTTAACCAAACACGTTTGCTGTAGGGTAAGCAGGGCTGGCATCCAAGCCACTTATTTAGGGAACGTTGGCTAGCAAGGCAGGAAGGAGACAAAAGAGCCGTCTTGGCTCAGTCTTCAGAAACGCACAAGGTGTCGGAGAGGGAGGAGCCTGGCTAGAACGCGGAGACAGGGGGCCGGCCGGACCCTTTCCCGCGGGGGGACGGCTTCGGGCCGCAGGCGTGGCGCCCGGTCCTCGGAAGAGCTGCTCTTCAGGCTCCCGACGGCCGGCAGAGCAGCGGCTGCAGGACCCTCCCGCCGCCGGCCGCTCCCCTACCCACTTTCCCGCCGGCCCCTTCCTCTCTTCCCCGGCCCTCCTCCCTGAGCCGAGCGGAAGTGACGCGAGGCGTAGCGGAAGTCCCTGCAGCCGCGGTGTTGTGCTGTGGGCAAGGGAAAAGGATTTGTAAACCCCGGAGCGAGGTTCTGCCTACCCGAGGCCGCTGCTGTGCGGAGAGCCCCGGGGAAAGCCACCATCACCATGTCTGACCAGGTACCGGGCTGGAAGCCCTTCGCCGGAGGTGGCCGGGGCTTAGCCCGCAGGTCCGCCTGCTGCTCGCCTGGGGGCCGGGGATGGAGGCGCGGGGGAGGGGAGCGCGCAATGGGGGAGGGGGCGGCCGGTGGGGACTGGGCCGCCGAGGGAGGGGAGCGAGCTAGTGCCGGAGACGGCGGGGCCTGCCGCGGGGCTCCGGGAGCCGCCCTGCTCCTCCCTGGCCTCGCTCATCACCCCCTGTGCCCCAGCGCCGCTGGTCGCGGCCTCCCTCACGTCGTTCCCCTTCTTTCTCCCGGGTCGACCAGGTGCAGAGCCCCGCTTCCACCCCCCCAAGGATCCCCGGGGAGCCCGTCCGTCTCCCTCCAGAGGACTGATTGCTGAAGCAAGGCCCTAGGCCCCAGTTATGTAACGGGAGAGAATCCCTGACTGGGAGCCTCCTGGCCTTGCAAAGCGGCTGGACTCCACTTTTTGGTTCTCGGGGCGGGGGGCGGCGGGAGACGAGGGAGACATTGTTTGATGTTGTCGGGAATCTAGAAAGCACAGCTTTCCGTCCGGGTTGCAGCCGGGGCCGGGCAGCCCCAGCTCTCCTCTGAGCCGGTTTTCCGGTGTGGGGGTGCAGAGCTGTCCCTCTTGTCTGTACTTTCCCATTTCTTACTCGGGATTGGCTCTTCAACCCTCCAGTTGCAAGAGAGCACTCAGAATAACCCAGAAGCAAAGTGGAACAAAGCTGCTGCTAGAGCAATAAACAAACAAACAAACAAAAAACCAAGGCAATACAGCTGAGCGTTTACCTGAAAATGACTTTTTGAGGAGAAGGATGGGAAAACCTGGAGTATGTAGAGCTGCTGGAGAACGTTTGTAGAAAAGCTGCCCATTCTGGCACTGTGCTCCGTTGCAATGTTAGTATCAAAAATTTAATTGAGGTTTGCACTTTTTTCCCTGATAAGGTTTTTTTTTTTTTTTTTTTTTTCCACCATCCTCGTTAACTGCGTTTATGGCTGAGTTTTAGTTCTTAAGGTTCTTGTTTGGTCTTTGCTCAGGCAGCTTGCACTTTTAAAAGTGTTTTGAATGATAGTTACTGGGAAAACGGTTTTCATGCCACTCCACGAAGTACTTGAACTTTTAAATTTAACACGCTTATTCCCTTGGCTCTTAACCCAGTTTTGTACCGCTTGGCGAGAGCAAGTGAGGTTTTTGCAGTTTTTTACTGTTGTACAAAATGTACCCGTATATTTTTTAAGCCTAACTATAGTCTAGATTACTTTTTGATGGATCTGCTTATTAATAATTAGATTAATTCCCAAGTTGGTGTGGGAATGGCATGATAAATATCTCCCTAGATAGTTGTTTACTTGGTTACCAGGGAGGAAAGAACAGGTGTAAATGCTTGGTTTCATCAGCCTTTTATTTTGATGCTCAGAAGTGGCTAGAAAGCATGTTGAAATTTACGGTAGGCTGATGAAAGCAATAGTCAAAAAGAGCTCGGAACTGTAGAATTGTTTGATGCAGTTTGAAGTCGGGTCATTTGAGAAAGACATGATGGGAGACATAAAGGACATAGGATACCGATAGATTCTTTTCAGGGTGTCCGAGGGCAGAACTATTTCTGCGTTAAAAGTAGATGCTGTTTGTTTTTTGCACTCTCATTCTTTCATTAGTGTTAATTGGAGTTTTCTAGAAACTAACCCGATTTGTGCTATCACAACAGATTGAAATGTGGAAGCCGATATGAAAATCCAGCTGCCTTCTATTAAGCCAGACATTAAACAGCTTTGAAAAACTGTGAAACAGTGCCGCTCTTTGCACTAATTTTGTTTTGGAAAAATCTGTTTAATAACAACATGTTATTTGTTAACGGGTTTATTGTTATTTGGAAGTGAATAAATATTTAAAACATTTCTCAGCTTCAGTGTTTAATATTGTAAATATCAATACATAGAACCATTCTAATAGAAGGGTTATGATGTTCTAAATAATTTTTAAGCATATGAAAGTCCTGAGATAAACAGTTTGAGAACTGTTGCTTTGGGTTTGCTGACCAGTATTATTGTTGATAATAGGACCCAGTATTAATTCAGTGTTGGGTGCTAAAGATTTAAAGACCTATGAAGCTGAACTGCTGCCTTTAAGAGGCTTATAAATGAAGACAGGAATCCCAAATTACTGCTGTGTAATGTCAGCAGCAAACTGAACCACTGTCTCTAGAAGATAATGTTAATTTAGAACAGTTCTTTAGGGCTGCTCTCAAAAGGTGCTAAGATACTTGAAATTGATTAATAGTTTCAGGTTCAAATAGGTGGACATTAAATTTACACGACTTAAATTGCTAATTTGTCTGTTGATTAATGAAAAATTATTATTTTTGGAATTTGAGGGAAACACATTTTAACAATTCAGTGTTACCCAGTGAATTTTGGGACCATCATCAAATGGTCTACACTGTTTCTGAGTGTGAGGCCCCTAGACTCTAAAGGCTGGGAATCCAAGGAAATTGTTCAAAATGTTTTGTATTTGTGCATGTCAGTTTTTGTTTGTTTCTTTGTTTTGGTGATGGTGGGGAGCAGAAAGGGCTTTTAGCTCTCATCAAATCCTAAGGGGTACATGATCCCTTCAAAAGGTTAAGGACCACTTTTTTTTTTTTTTAAGATTTTATTTATTATAATCAAAATTACAGAGAGAGGTAGAGACAGAATCTTCCATCCACTGGTTCACTCCCTAAATGGCCACAACTGCCAGAGTTAGGCCAGACGGAAGCCGGGAGATTGTTGCAGGAAGGACCACCCTTTAACCAAGTAACAGGAAGTGTTAGCCCACTTTCATCTTGCAGCAAGACACGTAGAACTGTAGGTTTAATAATATCAAAGGGATAAGGATAGTTTGTACAGCTATAAGTTTGATCATACCCAATCATCAAATTTGGCTTGGAGTTTAGTTCTTCAATTCAGATTTGTTAATTCTAACAGTTGGATGACTGGTTTGCATCAGTTCTAACTGAATCTTGTAATAGCCAGGTTGAATGATTTCCTTTTATCTTTAGTGAAGGATTTGGAAGCATTTTGCTGCTTAACGAAGTACCTCAAAATTTAGTATCTCAAAAGTACAGTGTTTTATTTTGCTTATTCTCTTCAATTTTGATAGGGCTCTGAGTTAGATTCATCTCCGCTCCTTGGTGTGTGGGATGACTCATGGCTGGGGGATGGGATGGTTGGAGGTGGGGTGGGGAGGAACTGACTAGCTTTTCATGTAGTCCCAGCAGCTCTTGCAGTGGTCACATCCTGTGTTCTCAGCATGGAGACTCCAGGGTGGATTTTTCAGACTTAAGGCTGTTCGAGGATCACAGAATATTTTAAGAGACCGCAGTTGGAAATAGCGAGACACCTAGGATCTAGCCCTGGAAGTCACTTTTGTATTCTTTTGGTCAGTCAAATCTGTGTAGCCAGCCCAGGGAAAAACATTTAGATTGGGAAGAGTAGCAAAATTGCAGTTATCTTTAATCTGCCATATTTATTATATTTTTTTGTCATGATACTTTTCTTATGGTTCCCTGTTGATGTTTACTGATTTTGGTAATTTAGCTTGAAGTAACAGAATACTAGGAAGTGGCATTTTGAAATTCTTAAGATATATGCTATTTATATCATAGAATAGGTATGTTAAATTGTGGCTGTTACCTACACTGTGGTTGGCAATGTTTTAGGCATTTCCTACCCTAGCAGAGGGGTGATACATACTCTGTCTCCTCTGACAGACGTGAGATGCTGCTAGTGGAAGCAACGCATCTATAGATCGTGATAAAATACTTCAAAGAAAGTCAGGCTGCTGGTTTACTTCCCAGTTGGGAGTGGGGCTGAAGCTGGGAGTCAGATAGGCGTTCCTGGATTCCCACCTGAGTGGCCAAAGCCCAGTTACTTGAACCATCCCTACTGCCTCCCAGGGCCTGCATCAGCAGGAGGCCACAGCCAGGAGCCACTGCTGGGAATTGAATTGTGATGTGGGATACAGGCATTTTAACTGGTGTCTTATCTGCAGGCTAAAACCTAAGCCACCTAAACAATTGTTTTGTGAAAACCGAATGTGATTGTTATGGTTAGAGTACTCATTAAGGTTAGTTGAGTAGTTCCAGTTTCAAAACTATAAAGCAGGGTGGGTGTGGTGCTTCAGTGGGTTAATCCAGTTTTTGGGACCCCCACATCCCATGTTGGCATACTGGTTTGAGGCCCGGCTGTGCCACTTCCAACCCAACTCCTTGCTATTGCCCCTCGGAAGGCAGCAGGTTTGCCAAAGTATTTGGGTCCCTGCTATCCATGTGGGAGGTTCAGATGGAGTTCTGTGTTCCTGACATCAGCCTAGCCCAGCTCTGGCTTTTGCAGGCATTTGAAGAAAGAACCAGTGGATGGAAGATGGATATCTATCTCTCCCTCTTTCTGACATTTGCTTCTCTCCCCCTCCAGCCCTGTCACTCTTCCTTTCAAAATAAATAAATAGATTAAACAAATCTTTTTTTAAAAATTTTTTTTTGACAGGCAGAGTGGACAGAGAGAGAGAGAGAGAGAGAGAGAGAAAGGTCTTCCTTTGCCGTTGGTTCACCCTCCAATGGCCGCCGCGGCCAGTGCGCTGCTGCCAGCGCACCGCGCTGATCCGATGGCAGGAGCCAGGTACTTATCCTGGTCTCCCATGGGGTGCAGGGCCCAAGTACTTGGGCCATCCTCCACTGCACTCCCGGGCCACAGCAGAGAGCTGGCCTGGAAGAGGGGCAACCGGGACAGAATCCGATGCCCCGACCGGGACTAGAACCCGGTGTGCCAGCGCCGCAAGGCGGAGGATTAGCCTAGTGAGCCACGGCGCCGGCCTAAACAAATCTTTTTTTAAGATTTATTCATTTATTTGAAAGAGTTACACAGAGAGAGGAGAGGCAGAGAGAAAGAGAGAGGTCTTCCATCTGATGGCTCACTCGGCTGCAATGGCCAGAGCTGCACGGATCCAAAGCCAGGAGCCAGGAG